CCCCAAAACCCCAAAACCCCAAAACCCCATCAAATGCAAAATCACTAAATTTGACATGTAAATTTAAACTAATATCTTTTATCATATTAACAAATTTATTCTCTAATAATCCAATCACTGCTTATAATATAATTAAGAAAAGACAAGAAAATATCCTTATCAAAAGAATGTAAAGGGAAATCTCAACTTTAGAAAAAATAGAAATAAGAAAGTTCAGATCTGTTGAGGAACTTGACGAAGCAATGATAATGAGATGCAATGAGTTGAAGAATCATTCTGGCTTCAAAAATTTAGAGTATGATATAGAAATATTTGCTGGAAGAAATGTGTTTACCAATGGCGATGCCTGGGGAGCGTTCAATCTTAAGGGAGAGGCTGTGGCATTAACATTAGCATTTGACCTTATGTTTGAACCCTATGAAAGCTCAAATAGCTAATAGAAAAGAAATAAGAACTCAATACTAAAAAGATAATGGGCGAGAAAATTCCTAAATTCTAAACCAGGAGAATATTGCTATGTCGGGTATGCTGTAGCGAGAAATGATTATAGAAGATTGAACTTGGTTACTTAAATCATTCAAAATATTAAAGACGATCTAACTAAAAACTCGAGTTTTAACCATCTTATCGGGATCGGAGTTTCTAGAGAGGGATTTTTATGTTTGAAAAATTTCGGATTTAAAATATTATAATTTCAAGGAGCTTAGGGAGAAGACGATAAAAATGAATACTACAATGGTGGAGAAATGAAAAAAGGCATGGCTTTTTCAGTATTACAAATTTATAATCTTGATAAGAAAAAAGAGTCTAATTATGATGCAAAATTATGAAACAAGATTTCAGAAGCATAAATAATAAGAAATTTATAGTAGTTTGGGTCTTCACCTTAATTATTATGAGTTCATTTTATTTTTTAACATACTCTCTAGGTTTTAATTAAATAACTTCTCAAAAAACTCCTCTTGCTTAAATTTTGAAGTGTGGGGTTTTGGGGTTTTGGGG